AGCGTTCTTGCTCATTTTGCTTCCGAGAAACATGCAAAACGGGACGGAAAACATGAAATTTTGCAATAATCTTACGCCACCCTTGCACAAAACTAAGATAATTTTTCTAATTTCATAGACAACAGAAGACTGTATTTTTTCTACATAACCATATACTTATATTAAATAGATTGAATTTGTTTGCTTGCTATACTGTAGAGACATTAACAATTGAAGCTGCACTATAATGTGCTGATATAAAACCGCTCGAAATGAGTTTTGGAAATTTGAAAATTAAATTTCGTTTTGTATGCGAATTATATCGATTTTACTCGTCATCCTCATGTGTTTATTAGATGTTAATATTTTTTTAAATCTAAGACAAAACTAAAGCAATTTTACTAGCGCTGTTGGAATTAAGCAATTCCTGACTAAACCATTCAAATAACTTGGGCGTTTTTAGTTTGCCTACTAAATATATGTTTTCCTTCAATTCTTAGATGTTAATTTAATGTTATGAATTGGTAAAACCAATAAAATGTAATCAGAGTTGAAACAACTGTAAATAAATTTCACTCATCTTCCATATTATAAAAATATCACGAAAAATGTTGAAATCTTGATACCACTTTGCCTAATTGCAAATTTTTGGAAGATTTTGTAGAAACTTATATTTTAGCTGTTAATTAAGACAAACTTAAAGCAAAGCAAAAACTAATTGCTAATCAGTTTTGAAGCATGCAATCCATTCATTTTCGATATACTGTATTTAAAAGACCTACAAAACAATGAAACAAGAAAGGATATAAAACGATAACTTTTTAATTTATACCAAAAAAAGTATATGCACGCTAAAATTTTTATAAAATTGCTAGAGCATTCCAAAAAGTCTTCTTACATCTGCAATATATAAAAAATATTTTACTTCAACAATGTGAACATTCAGAAAATCAAAAAATCATTCTAGGGAAATAAACTGGTCAGTTGAAACTCAGAATAATAAATAAATGAATTTTAGGAAATTGCCCTCATAATAGTTTTCATGGGAATAATGGCCTCGTTGCTGTTTTACTGCGGATTATTGGGCACTTTTGAAAACGAGTACGAAATGATACGAGAAGCTGACGATGTGAACCATCTGAACAGCAACAACCAGGACAAACATTTTCTGAAACAGTCCATTATTTACCTGGTATCGCTCACGTAGAGTTATTTTTCCCAAAGGAAAACAACCCCATTAATAGCCCCATTTTAGGTACATGGCATCAAGATTGTTCACGATCCTCAATCTAATTTACATACCGCTTTATCTGGATGAACGTGGCGCTGTTGAAGTGGTGGCAAAGGAAAAAATGCGCCAGACGATTGCTACAATTCCTCTAGTGTCTTATGTAGCTTCGTTCCTAACGTCGATTTTTTTAAAGTGTAGAGGACAGTGCTGTCCTGATAAGGTTGATATTTGGGAAAAAGCATAAGTAAAAGTTGCAGATTATTGAATGTTTATAGGTGACCTATTTAATGGGGACAACTGTGGGAATCATCGCTTCAGTTTGGTTGGGATCAGGAGTTTCTCCTAATTCAGATTCAGAGTTATATGCCATTGCTGTATTTTTAGGTAGGCGATTAGGTGCATTATTTACCTGCACGGTGTGAACTTTTTTGTGTAGGAATTAGCGGTTCTTCAACAATGGTTTCCAGCTTATGCCTGACAGCAAATTTCGTTAAAGCTAATGGATATGGAGGCGGATTGGTTTATAGCATAGTCACTTTTACAGATAAGCTTATTTCGGGTGCGGTTGTTCTACTTGTACAAAACCTGTAAGTATTTAATGAAAAACATGCATTAAATTCTCCATTTGCCGCTTAGTGCGTCGCCAAATTGCTTTAATCCGATGAAAAACAAGTTTTTTCCTAATCGTATAGAGGGTGTTGCATAACTGGCGGACCGAGCAGGAATTTAGAGAGTTGTTGCAAAGAATAAGTACAGGAATTTTTTTTAGCAGTTAAAAGAGACTCTTCAATGTCCGTATTTAGTGGTTTGGGTTACCTTTAAATGATATTCTTGGTGTTGTTTGCTCAAGCGCCACTTAACTACAATATGACCCAGTTTACCTTGGAAATGACTCTGGTGCGATTTTTCCTTATTTTTATGAAATATGGGATATTTCTGCAAAAAACTCTATACTTTATTTATTTTGATATCTGCCGCCGTTTTTGAGATTTTCACAGTTGAAATACGCGGAACGGTAAAGCGACAGTGCCGAAAAAATCGTTGATCCTGATGCGAAACTCTACTGATATTTACTAGAAAATAAATTATTCTTTTAGTTATTTTCAAGCAAGAAACATTCAGGTTTGTCTCAACCCTTCTCAACCATTTTTGTAATCCCTTGCTCAGAGTTTCACTAATTTTGGAATACTCGTCCCACCGCTCATAGCGCAGGAAAATTGAAAATCCAACAGTAAATTTACTCAAAATCTATCCCAAAGATATTATAAGAAAATATATAAATTGAAACAAATCTGCAGCCAAACCATGGAAAATCACAGTTGCACAGTTTATGCAATAATTCTTCTGTAAAAAAATGTTGAATTTCTAAACATTACTAACTAAAAATTCATTTTTATTGAAAAAATTAACATTTCTACAACCATTTTAATTAGCTAATTTTGTTCATGTTTTGTTATTTTAGACAATGTAATCCAAAGACGCTTTGTCCGCATTATTACGAAAACGTGCTTTCGTACATTTGTGGAATTGTTTCTCTATTGGGAATCGTTTCTCTAGGGACTCTGGAATATGAGATAAGGAAGAATGGAAGAATCCGTCCGAGCAACTGAACCACCTTAGCTCTTAAGGAAAAATAAAAGTACGAAACGAACGAAAGCAAAAATTAAATAAAAGCGTTTAAATGAAGCGCAGAAAATGTTATAGTTTTGTTAGTGTGTTTATAGTAGGACATAAAAGGGAAACAGAACAGGAACGTTGCTACAATAAAAAAATTCGGAATTTTTAGGAGCCGCTAACGCGTTAGAAGCGCGATAACCTGTTAATGAAACTAAAATGAATAAAACCCCAAAAATTAAGCAAGTGTTTTATTAAACTTTTTAACACTAACAAACCTATTTGTTAACTACAATTTTCCAGCTGTCGAATTATTTCGTTTCCCTCTCATTGGGTTCTCGTACGTGGAAACTGGAGAAACGTAAAGGGGATTCGACACATTGAACTGTGCACTTGCAGCAGCAAACTTCTTGTATTCGGCTTTCTCTTTTTTGTGAATGTCCCATTTTTTAACCATAATTAGGATCAGTCCTCCTACTACCACAGCAACAAATATGCCTAAAATTTATAAAATCCATATCTGGCTCGCCTAATAGATGCAGATTGTATTAACTTCTGCGTCTGTTTTGGCTACTATTTTTAACGATTTTTTCGCAAATATTGGGAGATGATTTTGGGCACTTACCAACAGCTAATCCAATTCCCATTGCTTGCGTCGTAATCATGAAATCGCAACGATTTTCATATGTCATCAAATGTACAACATTATTAGATCCAGTGTGGTAACAGTACTTTACTGTACATCTGTGCGTTTTGTTGGGATAATATACGTTTGAACATTTTTGGGCTCCTAAAAGAGTTCGTGTTATCCACTTAATTTATTTCTTTCACTGTGTTGTTTCCTTTAAAACACATCAAGCCCTTTAGAGACACTTAGAACAAGGTTTTTTGAGTGCATAAATTTTCAATTTTTATTTTCTATTGGATTATGTAAAAAAACCCAACTGATTAGAGTTGCTACATTCACACCGCCTGTTCTTTTTTGATTGGGCTTACCACAATGAGCATAATCCGATTTGCTTCCTTCTTCAATCTGAAGCATGCGAGTCGCGTTCTGAGCTTTCAACTTGTCGGTTGTGTTCGCTGTAAAATAGTTCGTTACATTCGCCTCATATTTATCGCAAAAGACGTTTTGGATCTCAGAGTCCGGTTGATTTGACCGCATAATTTCGCAGTACGTTCCCGAATATTCATCGGAACATTCGCAGTTGTTACATATACATTGTCCTCTGCCATTGCACAGCGTCTCATCTAAAATCATAGGAATATTGGAAGCAAAAATGTAATGGAAAAACAATTTTTGATTTGGATTGCAAAGGGATTGTTGATTAATCGACGAAGGAAAAAGGTCTTGGTTTTTAGATTTGAGTTGAGTTTTCTTTAGAAATTTGAAAAATCTAAAAGGTTCTTATTGAAATTTGCACAAGAAAAAATTTAAAACAATCTTAAAGACATGAATTATAAGCACATTTACTTGAAAATCCCAATCGGCAATTGCTGGTACCCTTATCACAAGAACAGTCTAAACCAGAAAAATTTTTATTGCACAAGCAATCTCCAGCTGAACAAATTCCATTTCCGCTGCATATTAGTTGGTTTTTAGTGGATACTGGGCATTCATATTCGCAAAAATCACCCATGTATGGTTCCGGACAAATGCATTTTCCACACTCGCAATCTCCCCTAAAATTCAATAAAATTACCTTTACAAAACAACACATAATAAACAACTGAACAAAGGTTGAAAGCAAATGTGTAGCTGCAAATCAAAAATATTATTTTCCTCGTGTTACTCTTTCTATCTTTAATATATTGATATTGATTGTTTACTGGAACAAGCAGGTTTAAAATTAATATTAAACATATAAGCAGGCATTAATGTTGAAATATCGAAGAAAAATTCAAATGGGAATCAGCTAATAGTTTAGATTCAAAATACAACTTCAGATGAGAGACGTGGACTGATTTATGAAATATTAATAAAATATTTTTTCGATTATCAAAAATACCTCATGGGTTTTTTAGACAACTTAATGAGAATCTACAACGTAAAAATATTTGTGTGTCACAGGGCAGGTTCATTCTAAATTAGTTGGTTAAAATAAAATTTTTCACCGGGAAGAGCACGTCATCGAATCAGCATGTTGCCTGCAAGAATCGCGATCTTCTTGGCATTCTTCATTACACTCCAATCCAATCCTACAATTGAGAAAAGAAAAATATTTTAAATGATAAACTCGGATGGTTTGTTAAGCCCAAATCAAAAAAAATTCTAAATAAATCACGTAAATATTACTTCAAGCCTTAACAGACCTTTTCCCATAATTAAATCAGTAATAATCAATACTTTACCATCCTAAATCGCATACACATAAACCGCAATTGATTATTCCATTAATGCAGGTTTTATTTGAATGATCGTTAGGACATTGGCATAATCCTGAAATGTATTCTGTGTTAATTTCAATTTCTTCGTTAATATTTTTTTCTCTGATAAAAACTTGTTTCTAGAACCAATTTCAAATTAGCGACGCAAAATAAACAGTGTTGTGCTGTTTAGTGACTCTACCGAATATTCCGGGGTTGTTTTGGTGAGCGTGAATTGTGCTTTAAAGTTGATTTCCTGCTCTTCTTTCGCATTTTGGCATCCCGGAGTTTCAATAAAATGACCAGTGTTTTCACAATCTGCGTAAAATTTTATGTCTAATTCCGAGGAATAGGAAGTGTTGACTGAGAATTCTACATTGCTGAAAGTATACATAAAAATTACATAACTAGCAAGAAGCTTTATGAGAAGAGCTTTATTTGTTTACCGTATAAACTCATTAAAGCCTGCCTTGACCAGATCCAAGATGTTTGAGGAATTACTCTTCAGCTCCCCCACGAAAGATTCTTGCAGCAAAATGTCCTTTCTCATTCTATCGTACATTTTAATCTTATCTTTTGTCACAGCGACTATTAAATTTGTCTATCAATATAAAGTATATTAGCAACAGCAAGGCAATAAAAATACAGATATTTAAACCAATAGATAATTATAAATTCGTTTCTCCTGACCTTTTGCCTCCTCAAAAGCCTCTTAATGGTTCCTACTGACGGAAAATCGTATTTCAACGGCTGTGTGTGATCTCCAGTGCTATTAACCAGGCACAATTCATGGATATTTACTTCGCTAACGCCAGCTAGAATGCCATCGCCTTCTATATGGAGCAAACTATCGGTGGACAGCAGAATAATCTTGCGCGCATAATTAGACCAGCCGAATCTTCTATCGCACACCAGAATTTGGTAAATTGCCTCCAGAGCTCCATCCAGATCGTCCACATTTGCCGATATTTTGCTACTGTTAACCTGGAAAAAATCAATTTAAAGTGATCAGCTGGACATCGTTTGAAAGTTCACCTGCTGGAAAAATTGGCTGATTTCTTCGGTGAAGTTGAGACTGTGTTTGAATAAATATGTTTGGTCGCATCGTTCTTCTCTGCTGGATCTACAGGGATTCTGGTACTGTGCAGGATCCACCAGAATATACGGCATTCCAGGCTTATCCAGGAATGAGCCAAATGCTAGCTTGTAGTGCTTGGTTAGTTGTTCCAAACTATGTGCTGCAATCAATCAAGTTTTTTAAGTTATATTTGTTCCTTTTGTAGCGTCCAAATATGGAAGACGGAATGTGAATTTACTCACCCAGACTATCACCAAGACTTTTCAAAGTATCCAAATGTTCCTTCATGGAATAACTCAAGTCGGCCAGAAAGTAAAGCTCCAAAGGATAGTTTTTCGCTGCTTTATAAGTAAATGTTAAATTGACCGGCTCATCTACAGTTTTTCAAATTGATTAATATTTTATTTTGTCCTACACTGTATTGAACGGACCTTTCCTCAGAACAATGTTGAACGATTGCGGACTGATCTGGATCGCACTGAGCGCAGATTCAGCAGTTTTGATTTCAGTGAATGGCAACTTTTTCACAATTTTGGCTGACGATTTTTTGTTCTTTTCCAAGTTCGTACATTGCGACAGCGTATCTTTAAAATCGCACCTGTATGTAAGATCCTGAAGGAAAAGTTGCAGTTAACAAGGAGTCAATAGATTAAGGAACACATTATTTAAACATCCAAGTGAAGCCAAAGTTACAAGCAAATCAACAAAGAAAGAAATCGTCCTACGTTTACGTCGTCCTAAAAAATAGTTTTACTGACGTTTTGCTAGCAAGAGTGATCTGCATCTTCCGTCCACTCGTGCTAGCGAAACACAAGGAATACATTATTTTCTCCGCCTGCCTAAAAGCCCTTAAAATTCACCAGTTATGAGGATGTTTCAATTAAACCCGCAGGACGATTTTTACGAAATATTACAAAAGATTCGTTTCAATTCGAGCTTTTCTGACATAAATAGGAAAATCGTTTGCAAATTTTTTATACAATAAAGTGCCCGAGAAACTCATTTTTTCCCTTTCGCTTAGTCTCCTATTTCAATTAATTATTATTTTTATTTTATTTTATTTATTAAAATATTATTTTTGTTTGTTTTGCTCTATCATCGTTTTCTCATATCCCCGCTTTTTTTCCCTATCTAATTGTTTTGTCCACGATAAACCCACTTTCATTCACTATTTTGGCTTCGAAGTGTTTCAATGTGGTTTGTTCACAAACATCGATAAATAATTCTAAATTAGTTTTTCGGGGCGTGAGTAAACCGTTAGATAAACCACCATGATGGAGGAGGAAAAATTGAAATATTTCCTGAAGCATGGCAACTATTGGAGACTTGAGTGGTGGCCACAAAGCTCCAAAAACAGACAGTGCAAGAAACAAACTAAGAATAAAAATTACTTGAAGCAACAGAAAATCTAAGCTAAGAACAAAACCATTTAAAAAGTAATGACTTATTTATTATATTTAAAAATTCAAGTTAATTACCCGCTCGTCGTAACACCAATTGCAACAGCTATGGGTAAGCATGCAGTCGCCACAGTTCTGTTGCTGTCTACAAAGCCACCTTAGAGGTTCTGGACAATCCGTTAACTGGCCATTTGTTAAATAAAATAATACAATAAATTGTGTGGCAAATACATGAAAATTCATCTTCTTTTCCACCGTGTAGCTGAAATGTGATTAAACGGTTTTACCAGGAGATCAGCACTTAAACAACATCAAATCACCTTTAATCATTTTCCAGTACGATTTTCGAGAAAAAATTTCCAAATATGAACTGTTGGGAATTTGATGAGTTGGCAAACGAAAATGTTTAAATTTTATACTTTGGTTTTCAAATAGTGAATATGCAATGTTTAAAAATACTCACAGCGCGATTATTTACTGTGTGATAAGATAAAAATGTTGTTGAGCGTGGGGATATTTTTTTCTAATGTACCTTCATCAAGCAAACTGAAGCGAAATCTAATCTATGTATCGTACCCACATGTATACGAGTGAATACTGAAAATTGTAATCAAGCTAAACTACTTTTTGCGTATATAAAATCAATCCCGAAGTTCTTTTTGAAGCCCTAAAAAATTACTGATTGGAAACTAGATTTAGAAGAATTAATATTCTCACTCTGGCAGCCACATTCGGTTGTTCATCATCAAATCCAAATAGCGTAATTAAACCGATGAGCAATAAATTTAAATACAATCAGCAACGTATAGATTTGAATAAATACACTTCACCTGTTGTTTAAGATAAAAGATAAACGCGCAAAATGACACGATAGAAATTGTATTCGCATTGGCAGTGTTGACACAGGTTTGGGTTGGAAAAGTGGCAATTTTTCCAAAAACCTGAGTTTCCAAAGCACGATAATGCCAGAACATCATCATTTCCATCACAAGGAAAAGCATGGCAGCAGCAAAGCCATTTTGGGTGAGTGAAAGTGATTTTTTCAATAAATTGCGCAATTTTAACGGCAAGTTTCGATCTGGCTGGTGCATGTCCAGATTTTTTTGCTGGGTCCACATTAGCAGCAAGAGATGTGCCTTATTTAGATTTACATGTTCGATACAGAGAAAACTGCCTCAGTTTACCACTCCAACTTTTCATGTTACGCTTTAAAACTAGTAGAAGTTTTCTTGGTGTATATTTTATCAATTACTCCAGCAATTTTTGGACTTTTAGGTGGAATTGCTACTGGAATAGCAGCTGGAATCACAGCTGGTATAGCAGGTAGCATCACTCACTCTTTAATGGAGGACCGGCGCACTGAGCGCCATTACCATCAATACTCCACATCAACTTCCACGCAACCAAGTTCTACAATCACAACTCATCATTATCACGCGCAAGGCTCCGTGCCTCCTCCTCATCGCAACGAGCCTCCTCCAGTTTACTCTGTGGCGGCCCCAACTCCTCCTCCAGTGGCTCGAGCTCCTCCACCAGCCTATTCTGAGGTAGCACCAGCTCCTCCCGCAGTCCACACTGTGTGGGTAACACCCGCTCCTGTTCACGTAGTTCAGGCTCCTCCTCCATTTGGGTACCCACCATGCCATCACTACTCGGTTACCATTGGATGTTTGCATTGCAGAGACTGGCAATGGTAACTAAGTCGGAGCCCAAATTTCCCACGTTCTTTTTTAATTGTTTTTTAGGAGTTTGTATCCTCCATTGCCTCCACATGGTTGTCCACCCTGCCAACACCAAGTTTACACCAACGGCTGTGATTCTTGCCATGGATGGAAGTGGCATTAAGCCTAAACCATCTAAAATTGCTAGAATGGAGGAGACTTCAATCCTGCAAACGCACTCATTATAATACGGGATTAAATTGTACTGAAATAAAGCTTATTTTTGTACTCAATAGGGATTTTTTGTGAGTCCTGAATCGTTGGAGGTGGGTTGTAATGGCATTTTATTGACTTTATGAGCCATTTTTTCGAACCTTATTATGCTTGTTTAAATATTTTGTATCTTATATATTTTATATCTATATATATTAATCGATACAAAATCTAGCTCTAGTTGACTTTTTTGGGTTCTTTTTATGGCTGAAGTTGAAAACTTGTATGTTGGTCAAGTTGGTAAACTGCCCAACTTAGAAGAAAAGTGGTTGTCTTTCATCTCCTGTAAATTCCCCACATTGGTATCTGCATGTATTTATCACTCAGACGTTTTTGGCTCCAAACCGTTTATATTGAGTTTCTTGGTCACAAAACGAGACCGTCAAGCGATGATTTTGACCTCGCCGATTTTAATACCAAATGGAAGTAAATATGGAAAACACTTGAGTCAGATTTGCAAAAAATTGCACTTAGGCGGTTTAAGTTAACTTAAAAGACGAAAAAGCAGTAATTAATCCTGTTATTAATAATCCTGGAACGATTCCTCGAAGTTGACGAACGAAAGTTAAACTTTTCTATGGCTTACATTAGAAATTTTGCATGCGATTATTCAAGAGATTTCATCAAAGTTTTCGCATCAACGTTTGGGGAGAAATTTTTAAAAATTTACTAGACTCATGTTTGATCTTGGAAAAAGGCGAATGTGAAAATATAACTACATTCAAAAACATCTTCTGTTTTACCTTGCGCATTTCAGCTCCTCCCAATTTGTACCTATACCTTTGTCCAATACCCCTAAACATATATATATATATATATATTTGTCCAATACCCCTAAACACCAATTATAGAGGAGCGCCCGGACATAAACGCATTAAAGCAGCCACATTTTTTAACAAATAATCATTTGGTGACCAAAAGTGTAAACCTTAAATGATCCAAACACCTTGCAAACAAATAAAAAACAGACAGTCTATTTCACTTGAACATGCATCGCTTATATTCTAATCCATATAAGGTATTTCCTCAGCTTCCAAAAGTCCTGGCCATCAACAACCGCCAACCCTCACAGCCGATTTCTCTTAATAATAAAATAGTATATTTCCAAATAAATCATCTTGATTCCTACAGCTACCACCTCCAACCATCACAGTGGCTGCATCCATAAAATTGGGAATGATGGCCGCATGGAGGCGGAGGGCCATGAAAATGATGCGGTGGTCCATGGTGGTGATGTGGCGGAGGCGGCGGAGGTCCATGGAAATGATGTGGAGGCGGCCCATAGTGATGGTGAGGAGGAGGAGGTGGCGGTGGGCCGTAGTGATGGTGAGGAGGAGGTGGCGGTGGGCCGTAGTGATGATATGGAGGTGGAGGTGGAGGTGGGCCATGGTGTGGCCGGATCATTTCATGAATTATCTCCTTCACTAGACTATTAGAACCAGGCCCGTGATGGTGATGGTGGAAAGGGTAACTCATTGTGCAACGTTTCTGAAAATTAATCTGATGAGTTTCGGGGGGAGCAACACTGGGCAATATTTACTTACGTTTTCATGTGATATGACTAAACAATAGTTAATCAATTTTTCAATACCTTATATAGTCTGTTCAATCCGGTGTTATTATCTTATCAGTAGACAGGAATTATGTATACAGGGTGTGCCAACTAACTAACTCACAATCAAGCTTTTTTTCGAAATATTCGTTTTTCAGTTAGAACGGGTGTGCTACTAAGAAGGCCAATCTGTTGGACTTGTTTTGGAGACAACCTGCTATTTTCTGCTATGAACCTGAGGGGTTGAAACATTTGGGGAAATAATATTTAGGCACTGACTAGACTGATTAAAAATTGGTGCACCCTGTAGATTCTAATATTTACCGATGACACCCAATTTCATAGAAACGTACGTTAGTAATAGTTGATTTTGTTATTTACAAGTGCGTAAAATGAAAACGTTTTTTTCAATTTGCACAATTTGTTTTTTGTCGTTATAAAAAAGTAGTTAAAAGTTTCAAACCATTTTCAGTCACATTAATTATCCGATATGCACCGTTACTGTTATTCTCAAAGGTTCTCAAAGGTCGCTGATTGGAAGGATTTTGAACTCAATTTCTTTGATAAGAATTATTCAAAAGTTGTTTGTTGTGAATCAGTCGGAATGATATATTTTAGCTAACTGTTTATTCAAAGATAGAACAAATGCAATGTTTTAATTGAAGAATTTTTTTTCAGATAGTTTTGTTTGTAATTTTTAGGCGAAAAAAGTATTTGTTTGCCTCAAAAGAATATCAAAAAATTACTTATTTTGTATTGTTTTATTCACTTGATTTTGAAGCTCCAGTTAGTTAGAGTTTTTCCACTTTTCTCCTAAAATCTTTTGAGTTATTCATACACAATTAACATCGAATAGAAGCAATGTTCAAGGAAACCAGAAAATTCTTGTTGAAACAATTTTGTCAATGTGTTTACGTCAATTTAGTATTATTTTATAATTGGCCTTTGAACGTATTCAATCTCTAATAAATGTAGCGTGATTTTCATGACAGATTCATTAGTAATTGGCTGCGAGTGGTGGTGCCAATATTTGAAAGAAACGTGTAGAATTGAAAGAAAAAATTTGAAAGTTAGCAACAAGTGGAGTTTTTACTGCATGTTCAAAAACGAAACATCGCCTTACTTTGCTTTAGGTATGTTTATATATATATATTAGCTTTAATATTTAATTAAAATATTTTTCAAATCCGAAACACCCAGAACGTTTTTGGGTTACTACTCTATCAAACAAGCTCTTGATTTTTTGTGTAAAAAATATCGTTTTGGATTCTAAACATGCTACAATTGGAATAGTAGAAAAGAACAAATATACATTGCGCCTTTAAAACTTGTAGAATTATTATTTTTAAATAATTTATCATTTTCACAGGGTCAGGCAGATCAAAACGCTCGATGATTAGTTTCTTATATAGACATATTCAGCTAGTATAATACTAAACAACTGGCATGTTCTGTCCTGTCCTGCAATAACAATGCCCTGAAGATTGCGATCGATCGCCAGTCGTCACTGAGCTCTAAATTAGATCGGCTGCAAAAATAGTCATAAGCAGTGTGTGGGAGTGATTCTGTTTTTGTGTTTTGCTCACGATTATTAAATGTGTACTAGGAAAGTGACAATATTTTTTAAATAGTTATACGAAGAGAGATTTTAAAAGAAAAGGTACGGGAAAAGTTCAACTGGGGGTTTCTAAGCCCTAAGACCAATCGAAACATTTCGCATGCCTGATGCCAGGATCGTCTAACAGCATTTTCCATGCTATTAATGAGAAAAATATTTTTCGAAATAGACAATGATATTTTAAAATATCGTGATTTAATAGCAGACTTTTGAGCCGAAAAGACAGTACGATGTTTTCATTGAAAAAATCTAGCACTACTTAAAATAGTTTCCAGTTGGCAGCAGAAAGTTGAAGATCCTTTTTAAAGGCTCTGGGTTTTGCATATTTACTCGTGATTTTTAACATTCGCAACTGATCTTCAACATGTGTATTATTTGTAAAAACATGAACATTTAAACTTCAAGTATTTTAACTGCTAAATGTTGCAGATCCACAATGTCGAAAGATCCAGAAACTATAGTCAAAACCGCCAGAGAAGCTTTCAACTCTGGAATTACCAAAGATTATGGTTTCAGGCTGTCGCAGCTGCGAGGTAAATTCAATTTTTTTTTATTTAACGGCAATTTAAACCGAGAATGTTGTTTTTGAAAATGATTCCTCGCCCGTATTTTCTCTTTGGTTATCGCATCAAAATCTTGCAGACTCAAAAAATAAATGTCTCTAGACATCCAAAAACTTAAGGAATTATTAACTGGGCATTTGAAAAAAGTTCCATTTACTTGCACTAAACACCCTGTATATGCAGTGAAATGAAGCATTGATTTTGTCTGCAGGAATGCAAAAATTTATGGAAAACAATGAAGAAAATATCGTGCAAGCCCTGAAACAAGACAACAAAAAGTCCCGGTATGAAAGCTACCTGATGGAAATAGTCCACATCAAAAAAGCCATCAGCGCCACAATAAAAAACTTGAAGCAATGGATGGAACCAGAGAAACTTCCAAAACCTTTATTATTTATCACGGATCAGGTACTTCCTCTTTGATCACAGTGGCTCTGGATTTTTGTCTTTTTCCGTTCTAGATGGAAATTCACTCTGAACCTTACGGGGTGGTTCTAGTTATCGGGGCGTGGAATTATCCCCTTGTTATCACCTTGGAACCGTTCATTGCGGCAATCGCTGCAGGAAATTGTGCCGTTCTTAAACCCTCTGAACTTGTTCCTACCTGTGCGAGGCTTTTCGAGGAGCAACTCGGGAAATATCTGGACACCAGCTGTTTTCACGTGTATAATGGAGGAGTTGCCGAAACAACCGCGTTATTAGGTAGAAGTTTTATCGAGATTTGTTTCGTTAGGTGACTGAAATCGGAAATTTACCTCTGCATTTTAGAGCAACGGTTCGACTACATATTCTACACTGGGAGTGGAGGAGTGGGCAAGCTTATTTATGCTGCTGCCGCCAAGTTTCTGACGCCAGTTACTCTGGAATTGGGTGGTAAGTATGGAATTGTTTCCTAGCAAAATTGGTAGGCTTTCAGGAAAATATCTGTAAGTACTGTATATTTTCCTTAGGAAAATGTCCAGTTTATTTGGACGATTCTGCAGACCTGGAAATAGCTGCTAGCAGAATCATGTGGGGCAAATGCATTAACGTGGGACAAACCTGCGTGGAACCCGATTATTTGCTTTGTAGCCAGTTTGTGAGGGACAAATTCGTGCAAGCAGCTAAAAACGTTATTAAAAAATGGTAAAATGTACAGACAAAAATGCATGAAAGTAACAAATATGCGAAAGAAATAAGCTAACTTCATTGCTGAAAATAAACCGAATGTTCAGTTTTTTAGATGCATAAATATCATTTGAATATATTTTGAAAAGATAACATCGAATTTGAAAAATGCAATGTAAAAAAATGAAACTGATCACTTGGTTCATTGTCTAGAATGCATTTCGGATAAAGAAAAAGTCCTCAAAACTACCACCTAAATTAATTTTGCATTAAACTTGAATACTTTATTGCTTGGTTATTTTTCTTCCTTATTGGTTTCTCTGTTTCGAATTCGAATTGCCTTAAATAACATTTTTTCACGTCTAGTAAAAAATTGTTAGTTTATTTCCTTCATTTTCATTTAACGGAAAATTC